GCGTCGTCGTCGTCGTCGGCGTCGTCGTCGTCGTGGACGACTTGTGGGGCCGCGATGCGACGCATTGCAGTCAGGAGCCGTTGGTTAGCGTGTCTGTCCGCCGGTTCTGGCCCACCGCGCTGCGGCGCGAGACGCCATACGCGTCCCTGCCTCCAGGCGTCCGCGCCCCGAGCCTTTCCGAGCCTCCCTCCTCGCGGAGCGGAGTGACACGCTATCCGCTCGCAGGGCATACCGTGTCGCCAGGGCCGCCGCCGCGATTCGATGAGCAAAAGTTCCCGATCGTACCAGTTCTCCGACTGTCGGGGCACGTGTTTCGTTGGGTTCGTCTGTCCAATGGCCGTGCGACTGAGCGGCCCTCTTGGGAGGCAGCGGATTTCTCGATCTGCCTCTCCTGGCTGTTGCCGGTGGGAAAAGAGAAGCACAGCCCCAGTGGCGGGCGTCGAGGACGATGCACCTGCACCGATCCTGGCCAGACCCATCCTGGTCCCAAGGTTCGAGTAGCGTATCGACCACAAACGGTAGGTTCGCGTCGTGTCCATTGGCGGCGACCCCACCGCGGGCGTTCAAGGTTGAACGCCGCCAGTGGCCCAGAATCGGCCTACATGGAACGATCGGGCAATCGGAAAGCCGCCGATCGTTCGAGGTTGAACGATCGACGCGGTGTCAGAAACCAACGCCAGGGTCGTCACGAAACGAACCTGCCGAAATCGGTTTACCCCAGTACTGATTTTTCCGCCGAGTCTATGAGAACTGCGCCGAATGCTCAGTAGATTGGGACGGAGCATTCTGCGCATGTGGTCGTACAGTCGACACACCTAGTAAGGACGCGCGCCTTCATCTAGGGTACCCTTGTGTCCTTGCATCTGCGGCCCGTCCTTTCCCGTGTTCACTGGTCGCCCGCCGCCCAGAAAATCCCAACCTCGGTCTCCAAGGGTCTCGCGTCCTGAATTAACCCCCGTCCTTACTACACGTTTTGCTTGTATGGATCCAACGGAAGATTCAATGCTGGGGCAAACCAACGCTGTAGACGATCCCCTACACGAAGGGTCCGTGGCACCGCTCGGACGCGTGCATCTTTCCCCGGCAAGGACCATCGGGGGAGCATTCGAGGTCATCCCGCGAAAGAAGTACACGCACAACACCGAACCATGCACGGGGAAGGGGCGTCCGAGCGATGGCAAGGTGGTCGGGCCCCTGCTCGAGCGCTCGGCCAGGTCAGGCTGGCTCGGCGCGCGGGCATGCAGTCTGCGCCCCGCGAGGGGGGGGGCGTCGGCCCCTCGTGGCTCCACGGGCAGGGCGGGAGGAGTGGGAGCAGGAGCCCCGCGTGGCTGCAGGCGGAGTTCGGGGAGAGAGGAGGCCCGCCCTGTCGCGAAAGGATGGGGAGGACGAGGGGGAGGAGGAGGAGGAGGAGGAGGAGGAGGAGGAGGGGGAGGAGGAGGAGGAGGAGGAGGAGGAGGAGGAGGAGGAGGAGGAGGAGGAGGAGGAGGAGGGAGGGGGGGGAGGGGGAGGGAGGAGGAGGGGGACGGGAGGGCCAGGACCACCTTCTATCCGCACATCGTGATTCTATCCTCTCGCACATCGTCCTCCTGGGATTTTCAGTGCCCTTCCATGTGAGACTTCGAGCTGTAAGGGAACGCAACAGCCCCGTCGCTGATGTTTGCCGAATGCAAAAAAATGAGAGGGATGGGGGGAGGGGGAGGCGGAGATTACCTCGCGCACTTAGCTGGAGCACAAGGGGGGGAGGAGGAGTCGTGTAGCTCTATCTGCAGGCGAGGGGGGAAGCCGGCGCCCCACTGCTGGTAAGGGCAGCCTGCTGGGACAGCCAATGCACAATACAGCATACGAATGCTTCGACAAACACCGGCGAGACCGAGCCCGTGCAGGAGTACAGGGAGTGGAGAAGGGCCGAGGAGGAGGGCGAGGAGGAGGAGGAGGATGAGACGGAGGATGATGATGATGATGATGATGATGATGATGATGATGATGATGATGATGATGATGATGATGATGATGATGATGATGATGAGGAGGAGGAGGAGGAGGAGGAGGAGGAGGAGGAGGAGGATGGGGATGGGGAGGAGGAGGATGTTGATGCTGATGCTGATGCTGATGCTGATGCTGATGCTGATGCTGATGCTGATGCTGATGCTGCTGCGCATGATGCTGATGATGATAATGGTGATGATGAGGATGCTGACCATGATGACCATGGTGACAATTCTGCTGCTGATGATGATGAAGAAGATGACGATGACGATGATGATGATACTGATGATGATAATGCTGATGATGATGGTGGTGATGATGATGATGATGATGTTGATGGTGTTGATGATGATGATGATGATGCTGATGAGGGTTATGATGATGATGATGAGGATGATGATGATAATGATGAAGAGGACCATGATGGCAATGATGACCATGTTGAGGATTAGGATGAGGATGAGGATCAGGAGCGAGGAGATGAGGATGATGATGACGGTGATGATGATGATTTTGATGAGGATGATGAGGATGGGGGATCAGGATGATGATGATGATGCTGCTGATGATGATGATGAGGATGAGGATGCTGGTGATGATGATGATGATGATGGTGGTGATGATGATGATGATGGTGATGATGATGATGCTGATGCTGATGCTGGTGACGATGATGATGCTGATGATGCTGGTGACGATGATGCTGATGATGATGATGAGGATGATGAGGGTGATGATGATAATGATGCTGATGGTGATGCTGATGATGCGGATGATGATGATGTTAATGACTATGATGGTGGTGGCGGTGGTGGTGGTGAGGATGAGGATGAGGATGAGGATGATGATGATGCTGATGCTGATGCTGATGCTGATGATGATGATGATGATGATGATGATGATGATGATGATGATGATGATGATGATGGTGGTGATGGTGATAATGAGGAAGAGGAGGAGGATGAAGAGGAGGAAGAGGAGGAAGTGGAGGAGAGGAGGAGGAGGAGGAGCAGGAGGAGGAGGAGGAGGAATATCTCGCGTACGTGCCTGCAGCACGAGGGCGAGGAGGGGGCGTCCTGTAGTGACCTGCATGTGCAGGAGGAGGCGCCCCTCTGCTGCTTAGGGCAGCCTGGTGATACAAGCAACAAGTGCATGCATGAGTACAGAGGGAGAGGAGATGGGCCAAGAAGGATGAGGAGGAAGGAAGGAAGGAAAACACCAGCTGGATGCCACCGAGTCAAGTGCGGGATGACCTCGGGTTGCGCGGCCGTGCTGTCGCCGCCTCTTCTTGGGTGCGGTGCGTCCCCAGCAGACTCGCTCTCAGGGTAAGGGCCCCTCCGCCGGACGCTCGAGTCCAATCAAGCGGTCGATGAGCCTGGACGGATGATACGGAGGGAGAAGCGGGAGGGAGGCGACGGACAAAACGAGACAAAGAGAGGACACGCACACACACACAGCCACACAAGCACACAACGCAGCAGAGAGGACGGAGGAAAAGGAGGAGGAAGAGAGGGAGGAGGAGTCAGGATGATGCGACGGGTTGGGCTACTTGCTACCATCGACTGCCACAGTACCTACGGTCAGGAACGTTTACTTGGCGAGTCGCGCCGCCGGTTCTGGTCCACCGTGCATCGGAGCGACACGCTAGACACGCCCCCAGTTCCAAGCGCCAGCGTCTCGAGCCTTTACCCGCCTCACGCCCAGTGACGCGGATCGACACTTGATCCGCTTGCAGTGCAGTCTTTTGCCAGGGCCGCCGCCGCGACACGCCAAGCAAAATGCCCTTATCGTAGACGCTTTGTAGGGCAATAAGTGACTTTGGCCTCATGGGGCTCTACTGGGGGTCCTTTTGGAGCCCTCTTTGGGTGTCTCGTGGGGCTCTTGGGCCGTCCTGGGGCCTTCTTGGGCCGTCTCGGGGAGCTCTCTGGGGCCGTCCAGGGGCATCTTGGACCGTCCTGGGTCATCCTGTGGGGCCCTCTGAACCCATTTGAGGGCTCTCTGACTTCGGGAAACGTCACGCGACACGCTCCACGAGCCCCGCGCCACGCCTCAAGAAATTACTAAATCTGGGACCGAGAAACTGAAAAAGTATGCACAGTATTCAGCTCAGAGAACTCGAAGGGACTTGAAGACACTCTACGCAATGCCTACGACACGGTAGAGGAGAACGATTACCATTCTTGCGATTACTAGAACTACGAGCGCTACCAATATCTACCAATCTTGTTGTTTTCGTGTCGAGTGGTCGGGACAAGCCTAGGCCAGGAGGGTGAGCCACATGGCACCGCGCCTGCTCGCCGACACAGTTCCGCGGCGGCGGTCGTGAACAGGCGGGACGAGTCCTTGCTCAATACGACTTTTGTCCTGCATGAACAACGAGGATGTTCGTTCCCATTCATCGGCGTGACACACCGGCGTGTCGTGACACCCATCATCATCATCATCATCATCATCATCATCATCATCATCATCATCATCATCATCATCATCATCATCATCATCAGCGCTGCCGCTGTGGCCGCGGAGGCTGAGGCCATCCTCGGCGCCATTGCGCCGCTGCCGCCGCCGCCGGTGGAGGGCTGAGGTGGCCGGCCGGCGGGGCCTTCAAAGTTCGAGGCGGTCAATCATATGTGACCGTAGAGTGGAGAGTCCCATCATCATCATCATCATCATCATCATCATCATCATCATCATTATTATTATCAGCATCGTCATCATCATCGTCATCGTCATCGTCATCAGCATCAGCATCAGCATCAGCATCAGCATCAGCATCAGCATCATCATCATCATCATCATCATCATCACCATCATCATCATCATCATCATCATCATCATCATCATCATCATCATCATCATCATCATCACCAGGATGGTCCTGCGACGATGCGCGACTGGATGCATGTGCGGAGGGCGAGCGTTCCTTGTGTATACCACACCAGCGTGTCAGGGCACTCATCATCACGATGTGGGTCCTGCTGCGGCAACACATGCAGAACATGCAAGCGTTTTCCCTGGGGCGCCAAAGTCGCCAGCGTCCGTTGATACCTTCTGTCCCGGGCAGAGGCCAGCGGGTCGCGCACGCGTTCGCCCGGAGCCCTCCTGCCCCTCCTCCTCGGAAGCCAGTTTGGCTCAAGGCAAGTTGATTCCGCTTCAGCACAATACCCGAATCAACTCGATTAGTGTTTTCGAAGCAGGCAGCCAGCGTCGTCGAAATCGCTGCAACAGCGAGGTGCGCTCGAATTGGCAGCCCAGTGGGCGCATCGTGTTCTTGCGAAGAGTCTGAGTCGACGACGGTGACGCTCGAGAAGAAGGACCGAAGCGAAATATTCGGCGCCCGCCTGGTCGACACGGCGGAAGAGGACGAGGCTGGTCTGACGATGCTGTTCATTCCCGACGGAGGCTTCCTGAGCAAGTGGGGCGACCGCAACCCAGTACAGGCTCTGGGGAGCGTAGAGCCGTTCACCTGCACCGCCCCCCTTGAAGGTTGCTGGAGGCAAGGGGGGGGGAGGGGGTAAGGGCTCAATACCCCCCCTGCTTCATCCCTCAATTTTCTCCTCGTCCTCGTCCTCCCCCGTCCTTTTCTTTCCCCTCCTTCTTTCCCTCCTTCCTCTCGTGCTCCTCGTGCTCTTGCTTATCCTCCTGCTGCTGCGTTTCCCTTCTCCTCATCCTTGTCCTCCTCCTCCTCCTCCTCCTTCTCCTCCTCTTCCTCCTCCTCCCTCCTTGTCGATATCATCATCCTCACGCTCCTGCTCCAGTTCCTTCCCTTCCTCCCCCTCCTCTTCCTCCTCCTCCTCCTCCTCCTCTTCCCCCTCCTCCTCTTCCTCCCCCTCCTCCTCATATTCCTCCTCATGTTTTACTCCCAGCTATCCTGTGGTGTTGAGTCCGCGTTTTTGAAGGGGCAGCGCCCCGAGTTCCTTCCGCTGCCCTCGCCCTCCCTCCTCCCATCCTGCCGCTGTCCAGCACATCAGGTAGCCACGTTAGGAGCTCCTCTGAAGGCCCCAGCAGCTGCTTTCGCATGCGCCCACCGCACACATTTCGGCACACCCCTCGCACGCTTCGTGGCCCCACAGGGAGCTCGACCGAAGGCCCCAGTGGCTACGTTCGCATGCACCCACCGCCCGATTTTCTTCGCACCCTTTACACGTTTCGTGATTCTGTAGGGAGCTCCACCGAAGGCCCCGGTGGCTGCGTTCGCATGCGCGCATCGCATCCATGTCGGCACACCCGTCACACGCTTCGTGGCCCAATATGGAGCTCCACCGAAGCCCCCAGTGGGTACGTTCGCATGCGCCCGCTGCCCCCATTTCGGCGCACCCCTCTCACGCTTCGTGGCCCCCCTGGGAGCTCCACCGAAGGCCCCAGTGGCTGCGTTCGCATGCGCCCACCACACCCGTTGCGGCACACCCTTCACACGTTTCGTGGCCGCACAGGGAGCTCCACCGAAGGCAGCAGTGGGTGCGTTCGCATGCGCCCACCGCATCTATTTCGGCACACCGCTCAAACGTTTCGCGGCCAAGGAGGGAGCTCCACCGAAGGCCCCAGTGGCGGTGTTCGCACGCGCCCACCGCATCTATTTCGGCACACCCCTCACACGTTTCGTGTCCCCAGTGGGACTTCCACCGGAGGCCCCAGTGGCTGCGTTCGCATGCGCGCATCGCATCCATGTCGGCACACCCGTCACACGCTTCGTGGCCCACTATGGAGCTCCACCGAAGGCCCTCGTGGCTGCGTTCGCATGCACGCACCGCACCTATGTGGTCACCCCCCTTACACACAGACACACACACACACACACTCCGTGGCCCCATAGGGAGCTCCACCGAAGCCCCCAGTGGGTACGTTCGCATGCGCCCGCTGCCCCCATTTCGGCGCACCCCTCTCACGCTTCGTGGCCCCCCAAGGAGCTCCACCGAAGGCCCCAGTGGCTGCGTTCGCATGCGCCCACCACACCCGTTACGGCACACCCTTCACACGTTTCGTGGCCGCACAGAGAGCTCAATCGAAGGCAGCAGTGGGTGCGTTCGCATGCGCCCACAGCATCTATTTCGGCACACCGCTCAAACGTTTCGCGGCCAAGGAGGGAGCTCCACCGAAGGCCCCAGTGGCGGTGTTCGCACGCGCCCACCGCATCTATTTCGGCACATCCCTCACACGTTTCGTGTCCCCAGTGGGACTTCCACCGGATGCCCCAGTGGCTGCGTTCGCATGCGCGCACCGCACCCATGTCGTCACACACCCCACGCGCATCGTGGCCCCATGGGCGCTACCGAATGCCCCAGTGGCGCTGTCCGCACGCGCCCGCTCCATCCATTGTCGTCCCACCACTCGCACGTTTCGTGGCCCCATGGGGAGCGCCACCGGAGGCTCCAGTGGCGGTATTATCATGCGTCCGCCCCGCCCATTTCGGTACATCCCCCCACATGTTTGGTGCCCCCAGTGGGAGCTCCACCGAAGGCCCCGGTAGCCGCGTTCGCATGCGCCCGCTCCACACATTCTGGCATGACCCTCGCATGTTTGGTGGCCCCATGGGGAGCTCCACCGAAGACCCCAGTGGCCGCGTTCGTATGCGCTCATCGCGCCCATTTCGGCATGTTCCTCACGCTTCGTGGCCCCATGGGAGGATCCACCGAAGGCGATACTCGCAACTGCCTCGCTCACAGCCGCATATGGTCGGGCCCTTCGCTGGGCTACTTCTCGCCCTCTGTTCCTCCTCTTCTTGCTTTTCCCCTTTCATCCCCCTCCATCCTCCTCCATCCTCCCCCCCTCCGGGGGAGGATGGGGGTGGGCGCGGGAGGCGCGGGAGGATGTGGGGCAGGTGCCTCGCGCCTGCCTGCCCTCCGCAGGCGGCGATTCCTTGCGACGGCGCCGTCGGGCGGAACGGCAGCACGGCGCCGCGGCCAGTCGCGGAGGAGGGGGCCAAGCTGAAGTCGGGCGTGGCCCTCTCCAGGAGGAACAGTCAAAAGTAGTCCACAAAATAGTCTGAGGACGATTTTTTGGGGGGCATGTTTGGGCTATTTGCGGGTATCTTCTTGAGCATTTTCAGTTTGTCGCCCAAAATCCGCCCGTGGGGGGACGTGCCCGACCTGAACAAGGCCGAGCCTCGGCGGGCGAAGCGCGGCATGCCCAGGCCCCCCGGAGCGCAGCCGGAGCAGGGCTCGAGCCAGGCGCGGCGTTTCCGGGCGGCGTCGCGGGCCGCCTTCTGCCGCTTGGGCTGCGTTCTCGCAGCAGGGGCGGAGCGAGGACGCAACGATCCGGCCGTCGTAGGCCGGGTCGTTGTGTCTTCGCTCCGCGAGGCCGAACCGTTTTCCATCGGGGGTGGGGCGAGCCCAGCCGTGGGCGATCGCAAGCATGGATTGAGGGGGCGTGGATTCGCGACGGGTCCCGTTTCCATGGGAAATCGCGGGTTTCCGCCGCCGAGCGAGGCGGCACTGGCCGCATTTTGGGGGGGTGCCCGCGCGCCAAATCCGTGGATCGCTAACCCATGTTTGCGCGCCCCCCGAGACGAGGAGAGCCGAACACAGAGCGAAGGCGAAAGGCACTGGTCCGCTCGGGCCCTGCTCCAAAGTGTGGAGCAACAGCGACGGAGTTTTGCCGCCGTTCTCGGCGTCTGGAGGCCCGCGCCGGGCCCCAGGGCCATCCAGAGACGAGCTGGGGCAAAAAAACGTTCCCCAGGAAGCGGTCCAGAGGCCTGAGGGCCCCGTCAGAAAAAAGACATCCATGGGCGGTCTGGGTTGTCAGATCTCTGACAGATCTCGATCTCGAGCCGGCGTCAATCTGACAGAGGCTGACTACGCGCTTCGGGCTCGCTCTTCGGCCGTCACAGTGCACGACGTTCCCCGCCCTGGCGGCTCGGCTTCTTCTCCGAGAGAAGCTCTGGCAGACCTCGATCTCGGCCCTCTCCGGGGGCCTCGATCTCGGGCCCCCGGGGGCCCCGGGAGCGGAGCCATGGGGCGAACGGCTGCCCCAGGGGGAAGTCTCGGGGGCCCTGCGGGCTGGCGAGGTCGGTGCGTCGGGGGGCTGGGCCAGACGAGCCGCTCCGCCGTGGGGGGCGCTGGCCGCGACCGAGCCGATGGCCCCTCAGAGGCCTCCGGAGGTCTCGGGAGGCTTTTTCCTCGCGGCTGTGTGCGTAATTACGGTGGCGGCGTTCGTTAAGGAGCGTGCCCAGAAGGCTTCCGACCCTGGAGGGTTCCTTATCTGATGAGGGCGGCGGTGATATCCATAGCCAATCCACGACTGGCTTTCCACTGGCTTCCAGACCCTGGAGTCCTTATCGAAGGTTTCCTTATCCAATGCCATATTCTGGGCCTCCCAGATGGGGTCCGAGCAGAGGGGGTCGAAGGATCACGCCGCATCGCCGATGAATCGCCGATGCGGCTGGATGAGGAGCCCGATTTTCGCCACGCCGACGTCGCCGATGCATCGCCGACGTCGACGAAGCATCGCCTGTGCATCACTGATGCATCGCCGATGCATCGCCGATGTATCCGAGATGCGGCGCGATCCTCCGACCCCATCTACTCCGACCCCATCTAGGAGGCCTCTAACCATGATGGAGAACAAGGTGGTGTCCGAGAGCGTCCCCCACGGTGTGACAGGCACAGAAAACAGCGGCGTCATGTGTTGGCGCGCTTTCTCGCGAGTGCCCAGCGTCTCTGGCGTATATGTTTGCCCGCTAGTGACCACGTAGCGGTAGCGCGTTGATCATCTGCTGGCTAGTCTGCGGCTTTGGCAAGGCCCACGAAGGGCCAAGAACGCCCAGAAACCTCGATCCACGACCCTCGAAGCCTTGCCGCCGGAGTCGAGCCGCGTTGCTGCTCCGTGTCAGCGCGTGGTGGACGTAGGTTGTGAAGTGCCCATCTGGACCTCCGACGACTCGGCTTTTCGAAGCACCTGCTCCTCAGGATGACCTCACTCAGAGCGCTCCAGCGCGCTCTGGAACTGCCGCGGCGCCCGACAGCTTCTCCTGAGCCGCCAGATCTCAGAGATCCCCGATGCGTCCCAGTGCGATGGCGATGACTACGGTACCGACGGTGCTTGCGATGATGATGATGAGGAGGAGGAGGAGGTTTTCCTTAAGAGCGACTCGTCGCCCTCCCCGCCTTCCCTTCCTCCCAGGACGAGATCCCGTGGCCCGTGCGCCTGGTGCCGGCGGCGGTCTCGGAGGCGGACGCTGGACCAGAGGAGCACTGGCCTCCTTCCCCTCCCTCTCCTGCTCCTCCCGCTCGTCGTCCGCCTCCGCCTCTTCCTTCCCTTCCTCTCCGCCCTCCGCCCTCCGCCTCCTCCTCCTGCCCCTCCGCCTCGTCATCCGCCTCCGCCTCCCTTCCCCGACTCCTACTCCTGAGGGCCCCGGCCCCCAGGCGCTGCCCTCGTAGGGCCGGTCCCCGTCGGACCGACATCGCGCGCTCGCTCGCAGTGGTGGTGGACGCTGGAGGCTGCCGCTGTCAGGCTTCTGGCCCTACGTCGACACGAGGCAGGGGGGCCCCTGTACGGAGGCCTTGGGAGGCATGAGGAACGAGGGGCTAGGCCAGCCTAAGGACCTCATCTTCGGCAAGCGAGCCACGTCCGACGAGTTTGCGCTCTGGGTCGAGAAAACGAGGATGGCGTTCAGGGTAGACGTGCTCATCGAGGACATCGAGCAGACGGTGGACGAGACGCAGCTGTAGCTTCAGCGTGCTTTTTCTCGCAGTCTGGCCGCCGCTGGTCATGCCTCCATTCGCTGGGCACAGGACTGGTGGTGCTCGAAGACAGGCTGGGCGCAGAGAGTTGTCAAAGAGAAAGCCATTGACCACAGGCCGTCCGCGGATCCCACCCAGGCGATGCTGGCCAGATCTTGTCTGGACGTGGGCCAGTATCCCATGAATTATTTGCTTGGTCGGCGGCTCCACTGGCATCCAGGGTGTTCTGTTGCGGGCCTTTGCGGATATCCAAACACCACCTTGTCCAATTGCGTTCTTGGGAGACTGACATGCTCTGCAAGGTTCTCCGGCTACGGCGGCAACCTGATGAAGGGTTTGTGTTTCACAGTTCCCGTACACCACGCATGATCCCAAATTGGTTTGTTGAGCACGGCCACGTCCTTATTCATCACAACGTTCTGCGAACTATCGTCGACGAGGCGTGGCGGGAGCGACAGTTTACTTCGCCCGGTAGAGCGAACTATAATGGCGCAGTCAAGGGCTTACCGCGACCGTCGTTTTTGGGAACGGGTCAAGGACTTGACGAGGCAACGCCAGGCAAAGGGCATCGTGCATGCGGGATTCGGCCACAGGCGCGAGGGGGAGGACATCTTCTGCGACGCCTTCGAAACATAATGGCATTTGAGACGCGACAGGTGTGATTCATGTGAGCCTTGGAACAGGCAGTCTGACGAATCTCAAACCTCAACTTGATCGCAATGGCAGCTTCGTAACCGTGGCCGATGTGGCAGGACCTTCACGTATACATCCAAGCCGCCCTCAACAAGCGGAACAAGACTATCCATCATAGCGTGGATGAGTGTCCAGATCAGCACTGGGACGAACAGCCTGGCATCGAATGCTACCGTACGCGCACTTGTTTCGTTTTCGTGGTAGACTGTAAAACCTCTAGCAGGAGTGACATGAGGGCACGTGCCGTTGAATGGACTTGGGCTCACACCAGCGCTTGAAAGGATCATTGGGCAGATCTTTAAGTTGATCGATATTGGATGGTCTCCGACCTCAGAGACAGGGCGGCGATTTTTATGGCACCGTCGCGAGAACAATCGCGTCGCTGATTTTCTGATACAACACCACATCGTGGATGTAGGCACCAGCTGGCTGAAACACGTCCCGCCATTGATTGGATCGTTTGGTGTTTTTGAAACAAATGTGACATTAAATATGACGGGGGGGGCTCGCGCATGCTTCTGCTCGGCTGCGGCATGCTATGCCGAAGCAGTGGTACTGTGTGAAGGCCGTCGCCACGATTTCCCGATCGCGATGAGTCGTACTTACATGAGCCCGCCTGCTTAATCTTTCGCAGCGGAGGCAAGGGCCCTAGAGAACGCAGCCTGTTCGCCATCACAGCTGATACATCATAAGTTCAGTGCGAAGCGCGGCAGAGTCCAGCACAACTTGGTATCTGCTTAGAATTTGCGCAATAGCTTGTCACGGCGTGGCTGGAGGCGCCCGAAAGAAAGATAAACACCGGAGCAGCGGCAGCCCCTCTGGCGAGACTCGTCTTGCTCACGTTCGGATTTGCTTCGCGGCATGGCCACGTTGAGGGCCGCTGCAGCGGCGGACCCTCTTGACCTTCTGGAGATGAGGCGGGTTGATGCTAGTGTCCAGCGGCGGCCAGGCTACAAAGCGAGGGGTTGCGACCAGCCCAGTCTTCTCGACATACAAATGTTGCCCGCTACGGGCCGCCAGCAACTCGTTGACGTTTCGAATGCAGCCGGGCGTGGGGGCACATGGCCCGTGCAGCTGCTTCTCACGATCTGTTGCACCATCCCGAAAGCAAGTGGTGGCGACAGGGTGATCGGCTGATCGACATTTTGCTGACTCCGACCAGCATTTGGTCTAGGTTTCGGTTTAGCATTTCTGGGGCACGGCTATGAAACAGTTGTTTGCGCCATGTGCCGCCATCGCCTGTGTTGCGATGGACGAGAGCGCGGCCTCCCTTGCCTGTGCGGCCGTGCCCGTGCTCCTGGATTTGAAGAACTCGATGACAAAATTAGCTTGAAGAACTTGCTGGTGGCCTCGATGGCCCAGGTTCTCCGCTCCGTGGTGACGCGACTGGAGGTCAAGCCCTTCATAGCCCCGAGGATGCTCAAGTCCAGGACTTGTCGGCGACCTCGTGTTCCTTAGGAGCTCAATTGTGGCTGGTTCGGGCCACGGAGGCAAGATGAACAACGCTTTCACATGGTGCCGTTGTTACAAGCGGCGTACCACAAAGCGCGCGCAACAATGGCCCCCCCCCCATCGGTCTTCGATGAAATTTCGTGGATGACACGGCAGTGCGCAGCGAGGGCATTGTGGGCTCTGTTCGGGCCCAGATGGCGGCCGTGGCGGGGCAGTTCGTGCAGTCGTTTGCTGGGCAGCAGTTGCCGATTTCGGACAAGACCAAGTCGATCTCGAGTTCGGGGTCGCTCGGCCGCGACCTGTGCTGCGATCTGACTGCTAAGGGCATGCCCATCAGTGGGGCTGCCTTCCCCATAGGCCTGGGCAATGACGCGACGGGCGGAGCTCGCGGAGTCGTCCGCAAGAGCCAACTGCCGGTTCCGCTAAGGTGAAATGATCCGAGCCCGCAAGCACGCTTAACTTTCCGTTGCGTGCAGGGGCATTCTTTGCAGGGCCCCCCCCCCCCCAGTTATTTGATGGGCGCTCCGCGATAGGCACCTCGCCCTCCTCCGTCGCTATCCGGAGACGCCAGGCCGCGTCAGCCGTGGCGGGCAAGGGCCCCGGCAGGTGCGTCGCGTCGGCCCTGGCTCTCGTTGGGGGGCAGCCCGTTCAAGAAGTTGCGCGGAGACATCAGAAAGCCTGAGGCGGGACCCTGGCGCCGAGCTAATTGAGGGGGCGATTCCAAGGTAGCCGGCGCGTCATTGATGCCGGCCTGGCTGCCATTGGACCAGCGACCCTCGAAAGCGCGCGTCAGGTGGGCCAGCCACCCGCGGGCGAATTGCCCCGGCTTGCTTTCGGAGGCGTCCTCGGCCAAAATAGGCCCCCACATCATCTGCGGCCGCTTGTCCCTGGCCCCCCGCGCACTCAGGGCCTCGCCGGTCGCCGCGGACACCTCGCGCCCGGGCAGCAGTCGCCCAGTGGGCGCCTGGTCGAGGGCCTGAGCCCAGCCCCAATCCCCCGCCCCAGCCGCAGAACGAGCTAAATCCAGCATGCCACGCGCTCACGCAGGGGCCTCGCGCTGCTCGCGGGCGAGGGCGGGGGGGGGGGGTCCGCGGGGGGCAGCGGGGGGCGCCGAGCGGCGAGGGCCTTCAGGTGACCTGGCTGAGAATGCAGCGCGATCGCGCGGGATAATGCGGAGTAATATTAGCCCCCCCGCCAAGCCTGCGGAGAACTGATCGCTTTGGCGATGTTGACGAGGGCGATGAAATATTCAAAGTGGTTGAGTCCTGCAGCGGATGTCGCGCCCCCCCATAGGGATCAAACATTGGATTTCACCGGGCCCGCCCCCAAGACCCTCCGGGAGGGGCGCGCGAGGTTCCTTTCTCGAAGCCACCCGAGGAAAAAGAGGCATCCAAGGGCCAGGCCAAAGGAGAGGCAGGAACATAACATATCAATGCTGTCGCCCGAAAGTTCCCGGCAATCGCGCAAGTGCGCGGACGCGATGGCAAGCTCGGCCTGGCCCGGGGCCTCCGCGATGCCAGCCAGCGCCCAACCTGCCGTGGCGACGTGGCCGGGCGTAGGTGGAGAAAGCCCCGTCGCCCCTCGCGCGAAAAGAGCGATGCCTGCCGACGGACCGTCGCCCGAGCTTGGAAGTGCAGCAACCCGTGAGTTCTTCCATCCGCGACGGCGAGCCCGCGGAGATCCCGGCACCAGCTGGCGCGGCATCTGCTCGTGCTCCTGCGTGATCACCACGTCCGCAGAAGCCCTGCGCAACCAGAGTTGGCCAGACCCCGCCCAGACACGTTGGCAGTCTCGATGATCGGCACATGCAGGTCCAGCGGGGCGGCGCATATCTCCAGAGGCCAGGTGAGCTGCTCTTGGGAACTGGGAGAAACATTCGGCATAAGTGACTCACGGTGCTTTTAATTAACACCTTGCGCTGAGGAGTGCCCGGCGGTCGAGACAGAGCTGACCGCCCTCGTCAAACTATAAGCGACAGTCTCAGGTGAAGGGTTGCACGCGTGGGTCGAGGATGGGCGGGGCGGAAACGCGGGAGATCCACGCTGGGCTTGCCGTAAAAAGTCACCAGAAGACGGCGCGAGGGACGGCGGCCGCGCGAACCGCGTCGGCCCTGCGCCCCCGTGACGCCCCCAGCGCCCAGACCGAGTTTTCGACGCCGCGCGCAGCGCGGCGCGGGGGGCGAGAGGGGAACAAAAAACGTTTCCACCCGCGGAGAGTCGCGCTCAGGACTCAGAAATGGCGAGGGGGCGGCGGCGCCGCGCCCCAGCGTGGAACCTGCGCGTTGCGCCCTCCGTCCGAGAGTATAGAAGGCCCCCCGGCGAGCGGAGGCTGCCCGCACCCATGGTGCCCGCCCCCCGCCCCCC